TTGCTCATTGTTTAGTTTGCAAATAAAATATTACAAATTCATTGACTTCTGTGAATTTTAAATAACAAATGAGCCAAGACTCCACTCACAGTCTAAAATTAAATTCTTTATTGTAAACAGTATAGATTTAATTAAAGCCTTTAAGTGAACAGCTTAAGTTCTCAAGTATGTCCCCAAGCAAATAAAAATAACAAATAAATAAAAAATATTATGAACACACAGAAACTAAAAATAAATAAAAACTGTATTCATAAAACCAAAATTGCCAAACGTTAAATTAAATTAATTTCTACCATGTATATTTAATTTGCTTTGATTACACAAAATTGTTTTGCTGTTTCGAGCATTATGAGACGTAAGTTATTGAAATGCAATGGATAAACCGATGCCAACTGCAAGTGGAAATGCATTTATTGACTGTTATTATGCCACAATTGCACAAAATGTGCAATTGTCTGACTGCACAGAAAGAGAGACAGAGAGAGTGAGTGAGTGAGAGCATTCAAATACTTGATGGCACTACTCAGCACATGGAACACTTTAACGCATCGGCTAGTCTAGTGTGTAGAGTGAAAAGTTCACGGATTAAGTTTTCAGGCAATGCAATTCTTGGTTTTTCATGCGTAGCTGTAGTAAAACTTGCTTAAGCAGTTAACTACGATGAAATTGCCATGAGGCGGCCATGGAGTTCGAGCTGGAGTTGCTTAAGCGCTGCAACGGAAGCAACGCATAAACAAAACAAAACAAAGCGAAAGCACACACAAAAGGCAACATTTTGCAGCATTTGTGCATTGGTGCTGCTGCTGCTGCTGCTGCTGCACGCATTAATAAACAGAGCAGACAGCCAAAAGTGTTTAATAACTCACTGCAGCAACTACATACATACTAGGGGTCGAGTGGCATTCGAATCGGACTCAACTGCAAATGGGCGAATGAGCGAATGAGCGAGTGAGCGAGTGAGCAGCTGATCGGGCTGACAGCTGCTTGCTTCGCTTTTGCTTTGCCCTCTTTCATATTGAATCATTCAAGGAAAACTTCTAGGGAAATCCAAAGACACAAAAGAACATATCTGCATTTTCTTCATTGATTTTCGATGTATACTCTACCATTTAGTAAGACATTATTTTATGTTTTATTTTGAATATATTTATTTTAAAATAATTTACTAATTTCTAATTCATAGAATGTGCTTAATAATAATAATATATCAAGAAACATATTTGCATTAGCTACATGTCATAACCTAATAATGATCGGAGACATAATAAACAAGGGATCAACAACATATCACTTTATAGTATATAAGCTACACCTTCATACTATCCCAACACATTTCTTTGAAAACTCCACCAGAGAAAACAAAAAAGTACTCACTTCATTAAATTTTCGCTTCATTAAATTTTCATCACTTATTACAAATAACTCCACACCTCTGGTAAAAGTCTCGTTTATAGAAGCAATGAAATCTACTTTTACAACTTTTCTTTCAATGAAATAATAATAATAATAATGATAATAATAATAAAAATGTAAAGTATATTTAAGGTAAAATTCAAATAAAATATTCCATTTTTTGTATTTCAATATTTAACTGTATCAGTAACAATATAAATTTACCAAATTTAATGATCTTAAAAAATCTATTAATTAAAATCAGAAACTTCCTTTAAACAAATATTTACATGGAGAATTTTTTAATTTGGCTTAAGCTGTCTATAAAGTTTAATTCGAAGGTTTTATTTTTAGTATCCCAGCTCTGAATGCGCTTATTTAAATAAGCATAAAATAGATCGAGTTTCAATAGTCAATTCTTTAAATTTTTAAAATTTTTAGCATCAGTTGTTCTCTAAACATAATACATTTTTTTTTAGCATTAAGAAATTTCTTCTTTTATTAAACAAACATTTAGTAAACCGGAGCTCATGTGGAGTTCTCTACAGGAGGCCTAGGTCTAATATTAAAAAAAAAAAAGAATTATATTTATATTTAAAAGATATCATCACATAAAGGAATCAGGAAAGGAATCTTTACTACACAGACATTGATCAAGCTAAGATCACTTTTCAATTAATCTAGTCTAAAAGTATTTCGTATCCCTATTCTATTCTCCTGCTGTTGCGTGTTATTCCATTTGATAACTCACCGTGTTAATGTCTTTGTTGCAGAGGGAGAGACAGAGTTTCTGGGCAATCAATTTATAAATAAACCAACGAGACGACAACGCGACGCATTTTCATGTTTTGTCGCTGATCTGTTTTTGCAACATTTGCACAAGAACTTAATTAGGCAGATGCGATAGATAGAATAGAGAGCAGACACAGTGACGCCGGCAAGCACGCACAGACACTCACACACGTACATGTACTTTAAAGTACATCTAAATACATATATATATTTGTATATGTATAAATGTGAGCAGTAATTGCTTAAAACAGCATCATCATTAATTGATAAAGCGGCATCTATCTAGCAATTGCAATTACAACATTAGGATTACGATTCAATTCTTGTTGGCCGCTGCAACCGCTCGAACAACAACAAACGAAATACGCTTCAAGTGAACAGAAACTGAAGCACAGAGAACAAACTGCGACAAGTGGAGGACAACCGCGCGTTACGACAGCCGATTTGGCACTGAACCGAACGAGGCAACAAACGAACACAGCATCAGCAGCATCAGCAGCAGCAGCAACAGCAACAGCAACACCAACAGCAGCAACAGCAGCAGCATCAGCATCGTCGGCTGCCGAAGCCGAGGACCATTCAGACACCCGAAACGAAATGCAGACAAAATCCATCGTTGGTCTTCGTCGACGACGTTGTTAGGCGACGACCCAACCAAGCTACTTGGTCCCAATACAGTTTTAGAAAATCAAATTGGATAAGCAGATGGCATCGTGCTATATTATTCCATTTGATAGCTAATTCACTTATCATAGCATATCACTTAGCCATATGCATATCACAAAATATAATATCTACTAATAGGCTTATACCAATGAGCAGCAGTTGCCAGCAAAAAGTCTTGCATAAACCCTTTATAAGATAAACTATATGCTATATATTTAATATCTAATGTATTGAAATATGATAGAGAAATGAATTATGAATTTACGATTTGTAAATTTAAAATTAAATGTTTCTGATTTTTTTTTTTATAAGTTAAAAATCAGTTTCAAAATTATAAATAAATGAAATCAAAAGCAACATAAAATTCAAGAATATGAAAAACTTATTAAATATATTCAAGGAATCTAGGCAAACCTGACATATTATTCAGGCATTAAAAACTCCAGTTAAAGAACTCTAATAAAATGAAAGCAAATACTAAAATTTAAATAAGAACGCCAATAGCTAGTTTTTAATTTACAGATTTTTAAAGATTATATGCAAAAAAAAAAAAATCCCTATTACATTCAATATTCATAGACAATCAAAATAGCTAGATTTCAACTTAAGTCTTAATTCAATAAGGTTCTAAAATTATACTACTCAGGTATTTATAATTGCCAGGCTTTTTTCATATGATTCCAAAATTTTTTTATATAGTCTTGGAATAAATGTTTGAAGAAAACTAAGTTAAAACAAATTATTCGTTCCTTAAAAATTAAATTTTTATTTATAATTTTAAACCTGAATAAATATGTTAATAGTATATTTATAACGTGGAAATAGCTCTACAAACTTCAGAGGCAGATAAATAAGAAAAAGCAGATGCAAATGTAAATAATTTATACTAAATGCAATATCTTTTTATATAGTCTGTGGTATACACATATGTTATATGTTATATAATATATAGTATATAGTATATAGTATATAGTATATAGTATATAGTATATAGTATATAGTATATAGTATATAGTATATAGTATATAGTATATAGTATATAGTATATAGTATATAGTATATAGTATATAGTATATAGTATATAGTATATAGTATATAGTATATAGTATATAGTATATAGTATATAGTATATAGTATATAGTATATAGTATATAGTATATAGTATATAGTATATAGTATATAGTATATAGTATATAGTATATAGTATATAGTATATAGTATATNTAGAAGACACTTTTATGATTAAAAGATGAGTCGTGGAAGACTCTTTTATGATTAAAAACAAGAGTCATAAGCGACTCATCAAGAAGAGTCGCGGGTAGGGTACCATTTTCTCCCGACAGAACAGTCTTTTATGATCAGAAAATGAGCGCACATATGACTGTTTTCAATCATCGCGCGAGTCTTTTAAGACTAACTTATGCTCTGTTAAACGCAAAAATGCTTGCTGGGTAATATTACGGCAGCAGCGTTTTTACATTTCAGTCTCTGCATTTAACATGCACATGTTAAATGTAAATTTAATGTACATATGTTCAAGCCTTGAATGCGTACCAAATCTTAATGTACTTTGAAATATGTATATGCTAAATGTTCTGTGATGTGTGTGCTAGAAGAATTTAGAAGTAGCTCAAATTTTTATGGTCATGTGAGAAAAAAATGCACCAAATTTTTAAAAGGGGGAAAATGTTAAGTGAAAGAAAACCAAATTTATGAATTTTGTTTTTCAAAAATACATTAACCAAATAAAAGAACGCATAGTTTTTAAATGAATCAAATAAGTCACGCCTAACTAAATGGGTTTTAACATTTATGTTGTGAAACTTTTGCTTTTAACATGACTATCAGCTCTTAAACTGTTCTGCTTAAAGGCCTTGCCCCAAGCTCACTTAACAGCAGAGGATAGACAACATTTTTGAGGCATGCAAAAGAGCCCTGTTAATACTCACCCCCTGCAGCAAAAGCTTAGCATGCTGTTATGTTTGAATGTTAAAATTTACCACTATTACCCCGAAAGCTCCGCCGAAGCTTTAACAGTTGCGCCGTAAAGCTTTCAACTCTGTAAGCTCAACTTTTACTTCGACAGTTAACAGAAGCTTTTGCCACTTGACGCTTCCTTATTGACTTTACCAACTGACAGTTCGAAAGGCAACGGTAAAAGCAACGAATCTCCGGGAACAGCTGATTGTCAAAATGAACAGCCCCCTGCCCGACCCATAACTCGAGGCTGCCAGCCATCAGCTGGAGCTAGAACAGAAAGTTTCGGTTCGATGTTTCAGTTTGCTAGCGAATGGAAACCCGTGGAATCATGCGGTGCGTCACCAAGTGACGTCCACACTTAGTCAAAACAGTTACGCGCGACTCAGTGTGTGAGTGCTTGGGTGTGTGTGTGTGTGTGCGAGTGGATGTGTGTGTGCGCGCGTGTGTGTGACTATTTGTGTATGGAGTAACATTGAAAACGCCTGGGCCAGACTATTGCCAAAAAAAAAAAAAAAAAGAAAAAAGAGAAAGAGAGATATAAGTATAAAGAGCAAACAACGAACAGAGTGAGCCTTGACCTCAAGCAATGCAAGTGCATTACGAATCACAACAACAGCGCAGCAGGCAAAACAAAAGCTAGACAATCGGAAAAGTCAGAAGTGGGCGCAATATGACGCCCCGAGCGAGTCAATTAAGCCACGCGCAACTGTAAAAAAAAAAATGAGAAAGCTTTATTAATAACGCGAAATTAAAGGTGCATCGGAAAACGGGGGCGAGAACGAAAAACCTTTACAGAAAATTGACGACGCAGAAAACGAGGAAAGCAAAAAAAAAAAAAAAAAAAAACAACTAAAACAACAACAAAACTGTGGCAACAGCAACAGCATCTGCTGCTGTGGAGCATGGGTTCATGCTTTAGCAGCTGTGTTGCCGCCACCGCCACAAACTCCACCGCCACAAATTCCACAGCCTCGTCGTCTTCCTCCTCCGTTAGCTCCACCAACTGCGTGACGGCCGTCGCCAACAGCTGGCTTCTTTGGTAAGCCCCACACGCCCTGCCCCCAACTACTGCCCCTGCCCCTCTCCCCTGGTTTCTACATTCGCTTAGTGCATACAGTTAATTAAAATTGCATTTTGTTTACCTTGTGGCATACATACATACATACACACTCACACACACACGCACATAGAGAGCAGGGCAAATCCAATAAGCGCGCTGCGTGCTGCTGACTTGGCAATCAATAGAAGCTTAAAGGTAGTACAACAGCGCCCCATCGCCCGGCTTGTAATTAGCGCAATTCGTGTGCTCCACTGCTATTAAACGTCACGCTTTATGGCAGGCCAGGCTCTTCGCTTTAAATTGCATCGGCAAACATATTTTGCGGCGCACCAGCACCACCCGCCGCGCTCTGTGACAGGGTCAACAGCCTAAAAGTATGCAACGGCTGAGTGCGTGCTACCACAAAACAATCGCCGGAAGGGGCTTCACTTGCGCCCATACATAAACAACTGAAATGAAAGACGATTCCCATGTGTGACACTCACCTCCTGATACCCTAAGTAAAGTTGTTGTTGACTGACGACAATAGACAGAGCAGAGACTAAATGCTAAATATTAAAAAAAAAAAAAACAACATTTAAATATTCAGAATGAGAGAAATTGTCGTAAAACAAATTAAGAATTTCCGCTAATCTAAACTCCAAGTTCTCTGTTCAATAACAGCTATGTTCTTGATTGAACTGTTTCAAATCAGAATGTTCATTACATAAGTATGTTTCAATTAAAAATGTTTCAAATCTATATATATAAAAGAAAGTTGTGTAAAAGTGAAGACTGCTTATAACTTGATTTGGGCTGAACCAATTTTCATGGTTTTTGATTTGTTGGATTTGTCTCCGCAACGAGTTTAGTATAGGGTCTTAAAAATACTGAAAAAATTTGCCGAATACTTGAAAAACGCGGTTTTTTCCCCAAATGTTCAAATTTTTNATGAAAAGAGCAATTCTCCAAGATTTGCAGCAAATGCTTCATGAACATCATGCATTGGTCAAGTTGTTCAAGACCGCTTTAGAGCGCATGCCAAGAGATGACTATAAAATAGTAATCAGAGCAGAAAAAAGACCAGCTGGAACACATGAACGCACATTTAATGCTCCAACAATCGATGAAGTGGCAATCCTGATTGTTGGTGAAAGCTTGGCATGCTCACGTGTTGGCAAACCATCCGCATTATTTGTTCTTGCACCTGACCAAAAAACGAAGAATGTCGTTTACCACAAGGGGCTTGAATGAAAATCTGATTAATAAATTAATTAGAGTGTATCCCAACCTGAACAACATACCTTTTAATCATTTTTTACCTAGAAATAAGGGTAGGGCAATGCAACGCTTGCTGGGACTGCTAGTATTCTAAATGAATTAAGAATCGCCCCTCACAATATTTTAAATAACAAGTCTTTAAACGGTTTTAAATATGTCTCAGATTAAAATATCTAACAGACTTTAGAATTAGAATCACGCCTTATCTAAAGTCCAAACTTTCCTTTTAATATCTGCAATGAAACATTGTCCCAATATTTCACATACACACATTTCTAAACTAACGAAATTTTCTTCAATAAACTAAAATATTCCTGTCCTCTGAATTTCAAACAGTCCTTTTAATATCTTCCATGTCTATGATCCAAAACAATCTCAAATAAAATATTTTCAAATGAACTTTTTTTCGAATATTCTGAATAAAAGACAGGATCTTCCTAAAATAATATTGGCTATAATATTAAATTAAATTTTTGAGAATATTACTAAATCATATTCCTATAATATGAAATTCAATTATTGGGAATATTATTGCTTTTGATTTATATTAAACCAAGTTCACATGCATATATTTATTTAATAAACTTAATAAACTAAATTTAGTTACCAAAAACTTGCCAACTTTTTACAAAAGTAAAGTCAACTATTTCTCCTCATCTGCACTTCAATATCTACCATGTCACATGCTGCCTGATGAATTCATAGTACCCAACATCATGACAGCTATAGAGTAAAGCTAACAGATTGCATTGCTCTCTTTGCAGGCGTCGTCCCCGGACGAGAGCTCGAGCAGCAGCAGCCGCAGCAGCAGCTGGCACAGATGAACCGGAAGCAGAGCTGCTGTCGGCCGCCAGTGAACGATGCCAGCGACGTGGCCTTGTCTATCGCATATTAAAGTTCAAGAGGAAACAGCAATGTCCACAATTTCTGGACCGATATTGGGAACAGCAGCCCAGCTATGCGAAGCTGCAGAACGACAGGTGAGAGAGCGTCGAGGTAATCAACGGCTCGAATCAGTTGAATAAATATTGACTGCTTGCAGTGCCCTGACGGACATACAGCTACAGAATCTGGATGTGCACAAGCTGCTCAATGCCACGACGACGTCCAGCAAGGAGACGGACCTGCAGAACTATACGCACATGGCCAGCTCAAGGGCCAGCTCCTCTCTGGATCTGGAGTGGGAGCATGAATACTCGCAGCTGCGCCAGTATCAGCAGCGACAGCACAAGGAGCAGCAGCCGCAGCAGGATACACCGCCCCGCGGCGCCTCCCAGCCGTGCTACTCATCTCTGGACCAACTGACGACGGCTGCATCGCTGGCCGCCAGTCACGGACGCCATGCGGCAGCGCGTCAAGCACGACTGAGCGGCCAGCGCTATGGCGGCTCCTTTACGCGCACCTCCTGCTGCTCGTCGACGCAGAACTCCTGGTCGCACATATCCACGCCCGAGTCGCTCGAGTGGGACATCGATGCCGAGCAGGAGCAGCAGCGCCAGTTGCGCCAAGAGGATGACAACTTGGATGAGGAGACACTTAAACTACTCCATCAAATCGAACAGCTCAAACATCATGTGCTTCAAGAGACTGGCGATGGCTTAAGCGTCGGCATGGGCGTGGCCGTGGAGGAGCTCAGCGAAGGATTGCAATTTCGATCATCGCATTTCGGTGTGGCGAACGGCTCAGAGCTGGAGATCCATATTAGTTGATCTGTGGCACTCTGTATATATATATAGACATGTATAAATAATGTACAAGAGACCTACAAAGGACCTGTAAGGAATGGACTAAACGAAATAATAGAGACGTGCTTCAAAAAAGCTCCAATAGATGTTTTAATAGAAGATATGTATTTAATGCCTAAGTTTGAAACACATCCCATAAGGAAGAAACATTTATGAAAAAATTAAAAATACTTCGGACTGCCGAAGATACTCTTGCAGATGGAAGAGATAACTAGAAGAGATATTTATTAATTACAAGATAAAGTAAAGTTAATTTTGGTTACCTAAATTATGTTTCATTGAAAGCTGTAATAGAATGTAAATTAATCAGGTTATGAATAATTATGAGCTCTGTTTTAAGCAGGCAGTAGATGACTATCAAGGCATATGTATATAAACTTGATGAACATCTAATATCATACGATCTGCAAGTGTACATTGACTAAAATTAGATCCAATTCTATTCCAAAATGAAACTATGAACTTTGGATACGATATCACGGAAACTCCAAACTAAATTATTGCGCAATTTAAGTGCCTCGCAAACTACACACATACTCACACACACTCACACTTTCTTTTAGCTCTGGTGCTACCAAGTAGCCCCATAGACACACTAGAACTATCCTATGAATTAGACACCTGGATAACTTATTATATGGCAATTACAATATAAAGCAAGTGCTACATACTAATTCTGTTAAATATATTTGCTAAATGATTTTTATGCGGATTCAGCGAACAAAAAGAGATGCACCCACTTGAACAAGAGAACTTACAGAACTTATATAGCAGTTAAATATATTATATAATTAAATATGTATATGCTCCATTTCGTTATGTTTGAGAGATTTATGCTTAATGCAGTTGATTATAAAGATGAATATGAATATGAATATTGAATGCACACACAAATGCAAAGAATTAATAATTATATTTTCAAAGTTTATTAGGGAAAATGCAAACAAAATACAAAGGTACGTCCTTATAGAGCGAGTATTACACATGTATCTATATGTATATGTATATTTAGTAGTAGTTGTTGTTGCGGTTCAACTGCGACCGACAAAAAATTTTTTCCTTTTAAGACTAAACCTAAACTGATTAAAGAAACGTTTGTAGAAAACAATTTATTCACATTTGTGATTCGTGTTTATTTTCACTTTTTTTTCTGGTCCTTTACTTTTATTGCATTTTTTGGCTCGTTTTCGTTTCGTTGCACTTAAGTCTTTATGGCAGTTCGTGTTGTGTCTCTCGAGGTCTAACCGAAGATTCCGGTTATCTTATTCTTGAAATTTTCGAATGTACTGGGCTTCGGCTGCAATTGAAAATGAGAGATCTATGTGTAAGTATATGTGGTATATTTGGATAGAAAGCATAGCTTTAAGAGTTAATTCTAATTGGAATGATCTGTTATAAATTTATAAATAGATCTATATCCGAAATGAGACCCATTTATGCAGGGGTTTCGTAGAGTTTTCTACTTCAAAGTGGTTTAAATTGTTTCATTTGAAATATAACTAAACTCTTATTTATTCCGCAAACCTATATCTTTTATAGTCTACCCAAGCTGATCTATTATATTTGAAGTAACTAAAATTTGTCCATGCCAGGATTTACATTATATTTGTAGAACAATTTGTATCACATATCTACAAATTTTATAATAGAAATTCAGACCTTATCAACACTTTATGGCAATCTTCTTAGAAAACGGCAATCATATCAACATATCTGCTTATATAACCTATATAACTTCCTATATATTTTATAAGAGCATACGTATCCTTCTAATATCTTATTCTACTCCAAATTTGTGTGCCCTAAAGAGCAGAAAAATGCAATATCCTTAAGACTTATATATCAATCGACATATCAATTTCTATCAGTCCTACATTCAATATAATTTAGTCGAATATCCCGACCACGTAAAATATATGAGAAAAATCTACATTTGATATTCGAAGTGATTAAATCAATAGTCCTAAATATATTCTTATATATCCTATTAACGATTTTCTACTATAGTTATCTAAGGAGCTGAAAATATCGCTTGTTCCTCAATATTTCTATATCCATTTCAACTTTATATAACTTACCGTTGTCTCAGTTGGCTGCGCCTGTTGCAGCTGGCCATAATTGGAGCCATAGCTATGGCCATAGGCCTTGCCTGTTAGGTCCTCGACCTGCCGTTGTCCCAAATCGTCTTTGTCGTCCAGCAATTGTTGCTGCGTTTGGCCAGCATCGCTGCCTAGTTGGTAGTTGGAGTTCCAGGCCAGTTCCTGCTCCTGCTGCTGTTGTCCACCATCGACTTGGCCATCATTCCAGCCCAAGTCCTCTTGCTGCTGCTGGCCCAAGTCCTCGATCTGAACCTGCTGCTGTGAGATGGGCTCATCGCCTGCGGCACGACTCCACTTGCCTAACGAGGCGCTGGCCGAGGCCGATGAACCATCGGCTCCGCCAGTGGCCGAAGCCGCAACGCTGCCCACGGGCACATTGAACGTGTAGTCCGTGCGACGATAATCGTAGCCTATATTGGCGTTAGAAGGAACCTGGCGATGATAGGGCAACGGTGGTGGTGTCGACACAATGGGCAGTGGTCTTGGCGCCTTAGTTTCACCCTCCAGTCCGGGCTCATCGTCTTCATTGTATGCCTCCTCGTAGATGTGAGGCGGCTGGTCGCCGCGATCCTTGGAGAAAATGGGTTTCTGGACGGCGGTGGCATTGGTGGTGCCCGAATCGATGATATAGCCCGCATTGCCACCAGGCAGACTGATCAATCCCTGACTTAGCAGATACAGCGTACGACGCCAGATACTGAGATCCTGGCCATACTTCTTGTACTTTGTCTGCAGCTTCTGCAAACGCCAGTGCTGCTTGGATTCCCAGTTCTGTACCTCGGACTCGGGCAGCAGTTTGCGATGATTCAAGTAGGTCAGATACTGGAGCTCCTCCTCGCGGAACTGCTGCAGTTCGATGAGTGAGATGCCATAGTAACGGGCCACAGCCATGATGCGCTCGAATTCCTTGAGCTGCCACTCCTTGACCTCACGTCTCGTTTCCTCGCTCTGGCGCTGCCAGTCGCGCAGCTGACGCAGCGTCATGTTCTGGGTGCCAATGAAGCCGTAGAGACGATCGCGCTCCTTCTGCTGCCAGGGTGCGAGCACAATGAGGTTACGTTGCTCAAGCAGATGCTCCTTGGCCATGTTGCCAACGTATATGCTCTGGATGGGCGCCAGTTGCTCAAGGCCCACGCCATAGAGACGGGCGAGTTCCTGCTGATAGTTGGTGTCCGAAGCGAGCAGCTGCAATAGCTCTCCGTCGGTGATAATGACGCTGGAGCCAATCTGACGTAAGCGCTGACGCTCCTGCTCCTTCCAGTCATTGCCCACGACCGTGGAATCGACAATTAGACCCATGTCCGCCAAACGCTGCAGTTTCTCGTGTATGAAGATGCGCAGCTCCTCAACGGTCACACGATACTGTGGCGCCAATATGGCCACATCGCGCAACAACAGCTGCTCCAGTGCATTGCGATTGATGGGATGACGGACAACGGTCTGGTAGATGCGTTCCAGTTCCTTTGTTTGCCAGGACAGGCCATAGCCTCGCTCAATCTTACGCAAGTCCAAGAGACGCTTCAACTCATTCTTATACCACAGCTTTAGCTCCTCGATGGTGATCTGATACTGACGCACTACGTCCAGCAAATGTTTCTGGTCATTAAGCAGCTTCAGTTGCAGCTCCTCAATGGTCCACTTCTGGCGACGGCGCAGCTGTTGATTGATCAAATCCTGTATATGCTGCTGCTCCTTCAGCTGCCACTCCTCGACGGTGACGGTGCCCGTGATGAGTCCTTCATCGGCCAACTGACGGGCCGATTCCTCCAGCCACAAGTGAATCTCCTCGACTGTGATGTGATATTGCTGTGCCAGTCGCTCAAAGTTTGGCTTGTTGCGCACCAAATACATTCTGAACTCCTGCCACGTCATCGGCTTCAGATGCGCTTCACTGCGAAGACGTGCGGTCACGTATTCCTTCCAGGGCTGCGAATTGGCCGACTGATCCGTTATGCTGATGATCTCTTCGTAGCGAAAATTATCTTGCGGCTTCTCAATGACACCAATCAGGGAAAGGCGTGCCGTTTCCTTCTGCACCCACTGTTCCACCTGCTCCACGGTCAGATGATAGTCATTGGCAATGCCGTTCAGACGTGACTTATCACGCTTCAGGAAATCCATGAACTCCTGATAGGTGGCCGAGTCCTGCTGTTGCTTGAGCCAATTGTTGAAGCCGTTGCTGATCTGCTTCTGCCATTGGGTTTGCTTTTCGAATTGCACCAGTCCCGAGTCCTGCAGACGACGCAGCTCGTCGTGCAGCCAATTGTCGACCTGCTCAATGCTCACGTGATTCGTTTGCGACAAGCTCTCCAGATGGGCACGATCCTTGCTTAGCTCACGCTCCACATCCTCATAGTTCATATCCTGCTGGTGCTTCAACAGCAACTCAATGAGACGCTCCTGCTCTTCAATCTGCCATTTGGCCAACTTCTCCACCTTGGCATTGCCCGTGGTCTTCAGGTTGATCAGTTGCTGGCGCAACCATTGCTCGATTTCCTCCACATTTACCGAATACTGATGGCCCAACTGGCGCAGACGTTCACGTTCCTTCTGCAGCTCCATCTCGAATTCCACATAGCTGATGTGTGTCTGCTCTTTGAGCAGATTCTGCAGCCGCTCCAGCTCTGACACTTGCCAAGCGCTGAGCGATCTCAGCGATGTCTCTGTGTTTCCTCTCAAACGCTTCAGCTCCGATATCATCCATTCCTCAATCTGTTCCACATTCACCCGATACTGATCAGCCAGCTGGTTGAGATGCGCACGATCCTCTCTCAGCTTTTGCTCAAACTCGGCTGTGGACAGTCCATTCTTATATTCGGCAATCAGCGTCTTGATATAATCTCGCTCAACCAATTGCCAATTCTGCAGCTTCTCAATTTCAAATTGGCCCTTCTTCTGCAGATCGTCAAGGACCTGCTGGATATATCTCTCGATTTCAACAACACTCACATGATGCTGCTCAGCGAGGCTGAGTAGAAAATTACGATCG